CATTCGGGAATATGTAATAATTTAAACAACCAAAGGGCACATTCTGTAACTAAAGCTTATTTTAAATTAAGTGAAATTTTGATGGATGACCCATGTATATTCACCTCCCTCTGTCCACATTCAAATCTCATTCTATAAGACAGAATTTAGTCTATGAAATTAATTTTATCAAGAATCATTATGTAATAATGTGTAAGGCAGAAGTTCAGTACATTTTTCTCTAAAACATGTTAACCATATATTGCTACTCCATTTTTTAATTAAAAAGAAAAACTCTGAGGATATTCTTGACTCTCTTGTAGAATATGCCATGTAGTTGATTAAAAGTAATAATAGTAATAAAAGGAGGCCTTGGTACTATGCTGCCTTTGCAGTGTTGTGAATAGCATGGTGTGCCTATGACTCGTTTTTGTATCTCTTAAGAGGGAAGTAAATGGATAGTTCTAAGGCAATGTCTATTATTAGTTGGAGAAAACTTTAGTAAGTGTGGTCGGTCATACATTCCTTCGTATTAAAAATTTGTTTCTGACTTATTCCTGTGCTTTTCTCTGAATAAAGAACATTTTCTAATGGGAAGCTGCGTGTTTTATTGTTACATTTCAATACCTGGCATGATTCTACTCTAAATTGGGTGGCAAATTTTATCTTTAATGATAAATTTCTTCAATGCTACCGAAAGTATCTTAATTTATTATTTTTCCAATTTTATTTTTTTTAGTGCTGATTAAGAATGCTCATCCAAGTTGTTGTTGTTAGGTGCCTTCCAGTCGGTACTCATAGCGACCCTATGCAAAGCAGAGCAAAACACTGCCTGTTGCTGAACCAGCCTCACAATCGTTGCTACGTTTGAGCCCATTGCTGCTGCCACTGTGCTGATCCACCTAGTTGGGGTTCTTCTTTTTCTATGACCCTCCACTTGGCAAAATATGATATCCTTCTTCAGGGACTGGTCCCTCCTGAGAATATGTCCAAAGTATGAGAGACTTAAGTCTGGTCATCCTGGCTTCCAAGGAGCATTCTGGCTGTTCTTCTTCCAACACATTGTTCTTTTGGCTGTCCACATTTTAAGAATCGAGTAAATCAGAATGTGACTTATTGGATTCTTTAAATACTAAAATTAAAAAAAAAAAAATGTGAGACAATTCTCAGTGTGCATTCAGCCTTTGACTTGAATGTACATTGTATTGTAGGGAGGGAGGGGGGCAGTGAGGGGTTCTCCTCTGGTATTGTGTACTTAAAAAAAAAAGAAACAGAAACTACAAAAACTGAAATAATAAGTATTCTTTAAGCACCAGATACTGTGCTAGGTGGGCACTTTATATGATCCTGTCACTCCGTTTCTTAAAACAAAACTCAAACTCACTACACATTACATGGTCTGGACTCTTAATATTCTGATTGACAGCCCCCAAGCCCCTTCACTGTGTTCATTCCACACTGGCCTTCCTTCTGTCTGAAACCATGCCCAGTTCCTAATGAAGCCTCCTCTTCCTGAAATGTTTTGACGAGAGCTTCATATGGCTGTCTCTTTTTCATTAAGGTCTTTCCTTGACCACAGTATATAAATAAATGAGTAGATAAATAAGGTTCCTGGTGTGGCACTGCAGGATAATGCATTGGAATGCAAGGTCAATTTGAACCGCAAAGTCATTATGAGTCGGAACCAGCTCGATGGCACTTAGAAATAACAACATATAACCTTATCTTTTTTATGTATTTAGTGTTTTGTTTTTGCCTATCTTTCCAACCCCACCACTCCTATAAGCATTATGAGAGCAGACAACCTGACTATGGTATGCTGTTGTTCATTGTATGCTTAATGAACAATCCCTAGAATATAGTAGTTCCTCAAATATTAACTGAATGAATATTAATATTATAAATCTATAATAAACAGAAAGAGCTCTGGTAGTGTAGTGGTTACGAATCAGGCTGCTAACCTCAATGTCAGGACTTTGAAACTACCAGCTGTTCAGCAGGAGAAAGATGAGGCTTTCTGCTCCCATAAAGATTTGCAGCGTCAGAAACCCTGTGTAGGGTCACTATGAGTTGGAACCGACTTCACACTACTTAATAACAACAACATAATAAACATAATATGTTATATAATCTATAATAAATCTCTGTAATAAATACACAAACCTAAATTTACTGAATAAATTGTTATCATTTTACAATAGCCTTGTCAAATAGGTATGATGTTTATTATACATCTAAATAATTTTTCTTGAAGTCAACTTAGCTATTAATGTGAGTCTCTGAGATTTAGAATTCATGCAACTCTAAAGCTCGTATTCCTTCTACCATTCTCTATTAATCAGTAGACATATTGCCTGATTCTGAGTAAGATCATAAATTGATTTCAGAGTAGTACAGACTAGGCATAGTTACATGCAGTAAATTTACATGCAATAATCTGAATTATCCTTTCCATGTTTAAGAGCATAAAAATAATGCAAATAAACATGTGGTTATTATTGTTCCTTTTTTAAGTCCTTTAAGGGTCAATTGAAATGTATAGGGGGAATAAAACTTCATTGAAACTCATCAGTGAAGTTGCTATAGAAGATTAGATGGAGATCATTTTGTAAAACTGTCAAAGACAAGGTATCTGTTTGATTAAATATGAAATGTTGGTCATTTAATTTATTCTTGTACTATCTTTGCAAGACCAAAGTCAATACTATCCAGAGAAACTTCCTTTGCATTTTATTGCCAAAGTATTAAATATCATTTGTTATATTTTCTTATCTTACTTTATATATGATAAATCAAAATGCTTGTGTTGTTTGTTGTTGTTAAGTGCTGTGGAGTTGATTCCGACCCACAGGGACCCTGTATAGGGTTTCCAAGGAGCAGCTAGTGAGCTTGAACCACCGACCTTGCAGTTCAAATGACTTTGCAGTCTGACGCATTAGCCCACCTATTATTAATTTTTTCTTTATGTTGCTACCTTAGTTTTCCTCATGAAAATTACAGCTGAAAGGAAAATTCCTACTGGAAGACTTTCCATCAGATGTTATTTACTAGCACATTTTGCTTCCTAATTTATAGTATAAATGTATTAGTCTTCTTGTTGTTAAGTGCCATGGAGTTGGTTCCGACCTGCAGGGACCCTCTATAGGGTTTCCGGGGAGTGGGAGTGGCTGGTGAGCTTGAACTGCTGAACTTGCAGTTCAAACCAACTTTTCAGTCCAGCACATTAACCCACAATACCATACCAGGACTCTTTATTAGTCTTAATCACATATTAATTATTTAAATAAAAATCAGCTCTTAAAATTTAAATGTGAATTTACTTTTAAGATATACCAAATATGATAGCCTTTTAAACTACTAGGAGATGCTTTTCCCACAGTTTTTAATATCTATAAAATTTTTAATACTAGCATATTCCATATAGATTTGAGCACTTTTGTAGTTAAGTGCCACTGAGTTGGTTCCAACTCATAGAAAGTGTATAGGGTTTCTGAGGAAAAGCTGGTGGGTTTGAACCTCCAACCTTGTGGTTCACAGTCCAGTGCTGATGCTACAGTGCCACACCAGGACTCTGATCTGAGCATAATATAAATAATATCTATAATTATAGAATATTATTATCTTCTGTTAATTTGATATAAAATAGAAATTAGTCACAGATATTATTAAATGAACTTCTAACATTTATAATTATTTAAAACAAAATGTGAAGTGTGATATATAGAAATAGGAATGAGTAAGCATGAGTAAGTATAATTTCTCTGGTAAGAGGTTAGGAACTCCAGTAGGGCTGGTGTAGTGCTGCAGGATAATGCACTGGACCACAAGGTTAGTTTGAACTGCAAGGTCAGTGGTTTAAACCCACCAGCCTCTCCTCGTAAATCCTATACAAACCCTCGGAACCAACTCGACGGGACTTAACAACAACTACAATAAAATCTACTTGGGTATTTTGGAATTTATGATTTATTTAACTGGGGAAGACTCGGGAATATGGAAAAGAATGGGTTTTTAGAGGTCTTTATAATGGTCTTAGCAAAGATAAAGACGAGACTTTTAGCTGAAGTTAGGGTCTAAAATGACTTAAGAACCAAGTTTCTACTTAGAAGGTGAGAATAATCATAGCTCAGACAATGAACTAATTTCTTTATGTAAGTTTGAGACTTTAGAGTCTCTAGTAGCAATAATACATTGAAAGCCAAAATTGTGGGTCCCTTCAGTTTTTAAAATGTAAAACAGCCAGTTATTTGGAGCCCATGGAACAAGCCATTTAGTTAACCAACTTCTCTGAGTGTTTTGGAGAGCAGCAACAGTTTTCTTCTGTGAGTTTTGGACTGATATCTAGAACATCTATGGGAAACTGCAGGGAACTAGTCATTTGAAATACCACAGATAGCTTTACCTAAAAGCTTTACTACTGATACACTGAAAATTAATGAAAATGAAAGTACTCTGGAAACCATAGGAGCCAAACAAATGAGACATATGTAGTAATGTAAACTACAATCATTTAAATTTTTAAAAAACAGCAGCTACTTTTTACTAGACTTAGATGCCTTTTTCACGTTTTCGTATTTTGTGTACTTTCAGATAATCACAAGGACTGTTCTGGTGTGTCCTTACATCTTACACGTCTGCCGTAAGTACTTCTATTTATCCTAGATAAATGACAATGCTAAGTACTTTGAGGACTTAAAAGTGGAAATTTTACTGTATTAGTGATTTATTGCTTCATGCCAGATTTACTGGCTTAAAACCACAAACATTATTCACTTCACATTTTTCTGTGGTCAGAAATCTGGGTGCAATTTAGCTAGGTCATCAGATTCATGGTCTTGCACAAAGGTTATAATCTAAGTTTGTCTGGGACTGCACTCACTCCCAAGACCACTTATATGGTTGTTAGCAGGATTCAGTTCCTTGTTGACTGTTACCCAGAGGTTGCCTCAGTCCCTTGTCCTTTGGGTTTTCAATAGTGCAAAGCACAACGTGGCAGGTGGCTTCCATCACAGTAAGCAAGTGAGAAAAGAATAGAGGGCATACAGGATGGAATCCAGAGTCTTTTTTTTTTTTGTTTACACTCAGTGAATCATATTGTGTTTCATTGCAATTATTACAGTCACCTCCATGCACTATTGGCTAACAGTATTTACCTCTAGTCCCTTTTTATTTTATTTTATTTTATTTTTTTTGGGGGGGGTGTACACAAAAACACTTAGGAATACATAATCATTTAAACAGCCAATGGGCACATTTTGTAAGCCTGCCTCTTGGCTGCCAGCACTCAGTCCCTGTCTTTCCATGAGTCTAGAACCTTCGCTTTTGTCATACTCTGTTTCTTAGAAATAAGTCACTAATTAGATCCAGCACACACTTAGATAACGGTAGGAATGGGGAAATTAGACAAGGGCATGAATGTTGGAGCTAGAAATCAGTGGAAGGCATGTAGAGGCTGTCTTCTGCATTCATCAAGCCATAAAAAAGTACATATAGCTATTTGTCCAAGAAATGTAAGGATTTTTAATAAAAATATATTATTTTTCTATATCATTTTAATTTTCACAAGAGTCACATTTTTCAGTTTGCTGTATTGAGACATATTTTATTTTTACAAAACAATTGTTGTTACTTAGATATTTCAGATAAATATTTTTTTCTGCAGACAACCTTTAATTGCTGGCATGTACCTTATGATGTCTGTTGATACTGTTATACCACCCGGAGAGAAAGGTGAGTAATGATGTTTTTGGATTTACTATTACCTCATTACCTTATCTATGCTGCTGCTGCTACTATTGCTGTGAGCTGTCAAGTTGGTTCCAATTCATAGCCACCCAGTATAGGGTAATCTATAGGAATTACAAACTATTTGTTTATTACTTTTCCATTCATTTATTGAGATGTTAAAAATTGAGGTCTGCAGGTTGTTGGTGGTGTTTGTATACTGTTGAGTCAGTAGCAACCCTGTATATATTTCCCGAGGCTGTAAATCTTTACCAGGTACGTCTTTATGGAGTCTTGGTGTGGCGTATGGGGTAAAGCACTGGACTCTGGCAAGTTCTGTTTGAACCACAAGCTCAGTAGTCCAAACTTACTATCCGCTCCTTGGAAACCCTATGAAGGGTCACTGAGTCGGAACCCACTTGATGGCACTTAACAACAGTAAATCTTTATGGGAGCAGAAAGCCACATCTTTCTCCCATGGAGCAACTGGTGAATTCAAACTGCTGACACATGTGGTTAGTAGTCCAACATGTAACCCACTATACTACCAGACCCTTCATAGGTAGATAGTAGATCATATACTAATTAAAGAATAAACCTTAATTAGTTTACAAATCAGTAATCTTTTCTCTAGATGGAAAAAAATAAATTAGTCATATACAGTGACATAAATTCCTGAATAGAATACAAGAAGCTAGTAATTGTAACAGTGGCTCAGTCTTTGGACTCAAATAGATATGGAGTACTGGTATGGCACTGCAAGGTCAGTTTGAGCTGCAAGGTTGGTGGTTCAAACCCATCATCCACTCCTCAAACCCTATCCAGGGTCGCCATGAGTTGGAATTGACTTGACAGCACTTTAGAAAAACAGCTAAAACTTCCACATATATATCAAGTGTGCATAAAAATAGCAGGTGCTCCTAAACTTATAAAAATGTTCAAGAATAAACAATACTATTTTTCAGTGTGTATTTGAAGTATTTCTAAAGAAAATGGTATTATTATTAATGATTGTTATTATTGTTAGGTGCCATCGAGTTGGTACAGACTCATAGAGACCCTATATACAACAGAA